TGGTGGCACATGCCTCTAGTCCCAGCACTTGGGAGGCAGATCTCTGTGAGTTTGAGGCCAACCTGGTCTACAGAGTGACCACAGACTACAGCCTCCAAGGCAATACAGAGAAACCCTGTCTCGAAAAACCAAAAATGTCCTTATGTGTGTTTTTTGTTTAACATCTGTAATGCCCTCCAACCCCTGAAACATCCTTCATATTGATCTCACATTTCATGTCTTTTAAACATCTTACATCAGTGATGCCTTGACATTCCTGGTGCAAAGACTACATACACATCCCCAGCAGTGGTTCATGACAGTGTGATACCCTACCCCTGTGCCTTTGTAAGTTGATGCCTTTGGTAATTTCAGACTGCTGAAGAAAAGCTCTGATTGTTTTGGTTTTCATCAAACCACATGAAATAAATATTTCTCAAAATGAGTCTACCACCAAGCACCCACTGCAAAAAAGAAAGCAACTCCCAGATAAAAAGTGCAACAGCAACTGAGCTCCCTCTCACTTTCTCCCAAAGTCAGGAATAATTCAAAAATCAGATTCAAGCTGTGGGTGGTATTCCTCTTTCATCTGAGCACTAGGAAGGTGCAGGAGAATCAAGAGTTCAGGGTCATCCTCTGCTACACAGTGAATTTAAGGACAGCTGGACTACATGAGACCTTGTGTGTGTGGTGTAGGCCAGAGTTTGACATCTGCTGTCTTCAGCTGCTCTCCCATTTATTTTTCCAGGGTGAGATGCTGGGTGTGGACAAAAGGTGCTCATCTGAGCTGAGTCCAGGCATTAATGTCTAAAGTGAGCTCCCAATAGAGGGCAGAGGACAGGTGGCAATATCTGAAGACATTACTAACTGTTACAATGTAGTGAGACAGCTTTAGGCCCAAGACACCTGCTACAGGAAGACCTTCTCCCACTCAGAGATGCCTAGGAAGTGAGGGTAGGAAAAACTCTACTCTTCATAGGAATGAAAGGCAGAAGGGGGTGATGGGAGATGTCATTCTGTAAATGTTTCTCATACTGGTTAATGAATAAATCACTGTTGGCCAATAGGAAAGCAAGATATGCGAACTAGGAGACAAGGAGGAAAGAGGAAGTAGTAGGGAGGGTCAAGATGGAGAGTCTGGAGAGAGCAGGAAGCCAGCCGGCTCTTCGGTGGTAAGATGAGACCACGTGGAAATACATAGGTCAACAGAAATGGGTTAATATTTAAGACAGAGCTAGCTGATAAGAAACTAGTAACTGGCCAACAGCATTATATCAAATACAGAGTTTCAGTGTGTTAATTGGGGCAGGCGCTCAGAGGGGCAAGACCAGTGGTGGGAGGAAAAACCTTACTCCTTACAAGGGGGAACAGCCCAAAGCCAGGCATGGTGACATAGAACTTGTATCCCAGCTATTCAGGAGGCTAAGGTAGGGGAATCACAAGTTTAAGACTAGCACAGGCTACATAGTGAGAGCAAGGCCAGCTTGGGAAAAGTAATGAGACCCTGTCTCAAAGTAAAATAAAAAAGGACATGGAGGGCTGGAGAGATGGCTCCACAGTTAGGAGAATTTGCTGCTCTTCCAGAGGATCCAAGTTTCAGTCTCCAGCACCCATATCAGGCAACTCACAGACACCTGTAAGTCCAGCTTCAGGGAATCCAACCCTCTCTTCTGGCCTCTATGTGTATGTATATGCATTCACACACACACAAATTTTTAAAACTCTTTTCAAAAAAAAAAAAAAAAAAAAAAAAGAGAATTAAGGAGCAGCTTGTAGCTGATGGTAAAGCACCTGCCTAGAATACCCCAGTGAAAGGCTGAAGTATGACTCGATGGTAAAGCACCTGCCTAGAATCTGCCAGTGAGGGTCAGGGATATGGCTTAGTCAGAGAGAACAGGCTAGCATGTGCAAGCCTTTAGTTCTATCTCCAATATTACTTACTTACTTACACACACACACGCACGCGCACACACACACACACACACAGCCCTCCAAACAGTACTGCAGACCTCACACTTATCTTCCCATGACCCTAAGCAAGCCTTATCCCTCACCCTTCCCAAGGTGCTGACAAAAACCACATGGCCCTGCCACCAACCTCCCCACAGTTGCATGTAAGTGATTGTCATCTTTATCTCACCGACAGGACACAGAGCCCTCTCCTCATGGCACAGGCCCTAAATTCCAGCCCCTGGGAAACTACCAAGAGCTGCCTTCCAGCCCAGTGTGTTCCACCTCTGCCTCACTCCCAAACAGACAGCCCATATTTTGATAAGCTTGAAAATCAGGAAATTACAGCACAAAAAAGGCAATGTTTACAGAAAACAGAACCCAAACACAACAAAGGGCATTCCCATGGGTGCACTGCAAGCACCCCGATGATTCACAAGAAGCACGTTAACTGCCAGCTGCAGCGCCGGTCCCCGCTCCCAGTGCCACTTGGCTTCAGGCATCTGCCATCCTGGTGTTTGTAATGCTTAAGCCTAAAAGGAGCTCCTGAAAGCCCACAGCAGCTTCTGTGGGAACTGAGGGAACAAGCATGGGGCACTCGGGGCAGAGGCAGGCTGATCTCTGTGAGTTCCAGGCCAGGTGTGTCTGTTATCTGGTCACTGTACTGTGTCACCTGGGTGTCTGCAGGCATCCTGAGTTCCCCAGCTGTGCCGGGCCTGCTCTTCCCTTTGCATCTCCCTAGGTTGAAGCCCTCTACTTGGCCCTAAGCAGAGGCTCTACAGTGTGCTGTAATGTCAGGTAAGAAGCATGGGCAAAGACTGAGGCTATAGCCCAGTGGTAGAGTGTGTGGCTAACATAGGGTAAGGTACTAGGTTCAATCCCCAGGACTACCAAAAAAGAAAGGGGGAGGAAGAGGAGCTTGGGCATGCCTATGACAACAAACCCAGCACAATCCTCACAGCCCTTGCCCTGACACAGGGCACCTTTGTCACACCCAGAGAAGGATGGCAGCCAGGAAAGCCATCCCTTGGGCTGGGCCTGCCTGGGCAGTAACATGACCCCCTACAGCCCAACAAGTGGGTCACTCAGCCTAGCCAATGAAGAATGGATTCTTTATTGGAAAGGTTTTCATAGCCACCAACGGAGAGAGGCTGTGAGCTGCGGAACTTCCTCTGGCCTGGCCTCATGTGAGCTCAGTGCTGAATGAGGTGCACAGAACAAAATCCCACATACTGCACCCACAGAAGCCAGCATCTACTATGCAACAGAACAGGCTTGCCAAAGCTCTGCTTCACCCAGGTGACACAACACAATGACCTGATGACATACAGACCTGGGCACAGGGCACCAGCAGCAGTCCTCTGCTGGTCTCATCGGGCCTGCTCTGTGCAAAAGAGTCCAAAACGTTGCTCTGGGAGCTGTGGAGATGGCTCAGTAAGTAAGAATGCTTGCTATGCAAACATGAGGATGTGAGTTCAAATCCTATGCATCACATGCTAGGTGTGACCTTGTGCCTATAACCCCATCATTGTGTCACACAGAGGAGCACCAGTCTACCTCCAGGCTCAGGGCAAGATTCTAAAGGGAATAAGGGGGTAAGATATAGGGCAGGACATGCCAAGTCCTCCTATGGCTTCTGTGTTCACACATGGGTACACGAACCTACACACGCACCACATACACATTACACAAGCAATCACAAAACAAAGTGATGTTCCACACACCCGTATCAAGGTCCTGTGTATGTGTGTCTCTGTGTGTCTGTGTGTACATGCCCATATTGCATGCACTTGCACTTTCCACCACACCTGGTTATAGGAAGTCTCTGAAAATGATGTGTGGGGTCAGGGAGATGGGAGATGGCCCACTGAGTAAAGGCACTTGCTGCATAAACCTGACAACCCAGAGTTGGATTCCTAGAACCCACTGTAGAAAGAGGGAACCAATTCCACAAAGCTGACCCCTGACTTCTGAGTGAACCAAAACATGTGTGCACCCACTCTGTCACACACACACACACTCACACACACACACACACACACACACACACACACACACACATGCGCGCTCTCGCATAGGGCTTAGTAAGATGGCTTAGTGAGTAAAAGCACTTGCCACCAAGCCTGAGCACCTGAGTTTGATTCCTGGGACCCACATGGTAGAAGAACTGACTCCCAGTTTAACCTCTGACTTCCACACTGACACCTACTTTCACTTTCCCTGACACAAATAGGCACTCACATTTTAAAAACAGAAACAAATCAAAATTAGAAAAAGAAGCAGCTGTCACCATGACACATATTACTTCATATCCTAACTTTAAAGAAAGTTTGTGGCTGGAGAGATGGCTCAGCAATTAAGAATATTGTTGCTCTTGTAGAGGTCCTGTGTTTGAGTCCTGTCTCCTACACAGTGGATCACAACAACCTGTAACTCCCAGGCACTCACAGGGTACACTTTCATACACATATAATAAATCTATTTTTTTAAAGTCAACTAAAAACTAACCTTGAGTATTAGAAAAAAATAAATTCTGGCAAAATAACTAGTTTTTTTTCCACCAGTTGAATAATAAAGCAATAAGCACCAAGCCAATCCTTGAGGCCAAGAGCAAGGTAAACTACCCTACTCCTAAAGTCCACTAGAGGTGCGACAACCAACTGCCTCTAGGCCACCTGAGGCACTGGCTAACCTGCTGCATATCCTCATGCAGCCACCTGACACCAGAGTCCCTTGGACTTGGATTGTCTTGTATCCAGCCATCCTCAGATTCCTGACACATCTAAGAGGGACTCTGCGGCAGGTCAACAACCTGGAACCAATGGACATCTGGGACTAATGAGATGGATTTGACCTAACACATTGTAGAAGGTAGCAGAAGCCACTGAAAATGGGCCACCAAGTGTCTCACAGTCAATGCACACATAAGATAAGCTTATTCAGACTTCTGAAGACGGCAATGACTCACCACAGCCCCAGTGGCCCACGCCAAACCAAACCCCCTCCCCATGTTCTTCAGCTCCCTTTGCCTGTCACCCTCCAGGTCATTCTTTCACACCCCACTTCCTCACCTGCTGTGGTGGTATCCACATCCCTGGCTGCCAGCTCTTCCACATCTGACCTCTTCCTCAGCTCAAACCTCCGGGACAAGCCTTCTCGGGGTTTCCATAACTCCTGGATCAAGAGGGGCTTCTCATTGTCCCCAAACACTCGGAAGCACTGGGCCTGCCACCTCTGCCCAGAATCCCCAGCCTGGCCCACAACGTCACATAGCACATATTGGCTGGCACACTCAGGGTCCAGGGTATATCTCTCCAGGGCCTCTTTCACCAGCTCCTGGGCGCTGGAGGTACCAGTGGCAAGGACACTCTTGTAGTGGGTTCCTGTACAGACACTGTCCCCAAACACCTTCAAGACCCCAGGGGCTGAGAGCTGAGTGGAGAGCTCTGCAGGATCATCACTGGCAGCTAGGCTGCAGAAGGTAGAGTCCAGGTCCCGATACTTGTAGCTCAGTGTCCGGGACAGCATAGTGGACAGCAGCTGGCTCTGTCGCTTCAGCTTATTCTTGGTGGGAGGAGACATGATGAATTGAGTCCCATAAAACATGGTGGGTGCGTCTTCATGGATAACCACTGAGGCTTTCAGCCAATGGGTGGGGGAAGGCTGGAGCCTGGGAGGACAAAGTGACACAGATTAGAGGCAAGTATCAGGGACATCAAGAGCAAGAGACATGAGTCCATCCCAGCAGAGGAAACAGTCCTGGGCTGTCCTAGCGTCCACACCACCTGGAGCCAGAAGCCCAGCAGAGGGGCTGATAAGTCAGAGCCTATGAGGAGTAAGGGGCAAAGCAGGTCTGATGGACTGAGTGCCTTCAGGGAAAGCCACTGTAGAGCAAAACAAGGAAGTCACAGTAAGTCATAACCGCCTTAGGGCTCTGTGACTTCCGAGAAGTGCTGGGCAAGTGGCTAAGGGACAGCACACAGACTCAGCAGGGCTGGTTCTCTGTCCTGGGACATGCTCACCACCTAGCAATGAATGTCATGGCCAGAAAAACAAAACAAATACAACAATAACAACAACAACAAAACATATTCAACTTGGCTGTAAATTTAATTTCTTCTTTGCCAGTCTATACAAAAGATGAAGATCATCCCAAACACAAGCAGAGCTGGGGAAACGGTCACAGCTGCAACCACACCCCCCCCACACACACACATGTCACACCCGTCACAAGCCTTGGGACTGGGGAGATGGCTCAGTGGATAAAGGCACCTGCTGTGCAAGCATGAAGACCTGAATTCAGATCTCCCACACCTATGTAAAAAGCGGGCATAGCTAGGCATGCACATATAACCCCAGCAATTTGAGGGACAGAGACAGGAGGATTGCTGGGACTTGCTGGCTAACAACCTAGCTCCAGCCAGGCTCAGAGAGAAAAACCCTATCTCCAAAGAATAGAGTGATAGTGCAGGGCACCTGATGGTCTTCTCTGGCTTCCATATGGGCACAGGTTCACTCACTCTCTCTCCCTGGCTCTCTCTTCTCTCCTCTCCTCACTCTCTCCTCCCCCCTTCTCTTTCTCTCCTTAAAAGCCACCAGATACTAGAAACACAAACCCCAAGAAAATGCTGCTCCCCATGACCTGGCAGAGGAGACTAGTCCTGGTCCCGACTGGAAGGGATCCGTGGCACAGGAGCTTGGTCCCAACTAAAGAGACACTTTCCTAGGACTGAAGCTCGGCAAGTCCAGTAGGCCACAAGGAACAACATAAAGATCGCCTCCAGAGCCAGTGGAAGCATCCTTGGAATGTATGCATTCCACCCACCATGTTCAGTCACCCAGCCCTCCAGCCCTCCAGCCCTCCAGCCCTCCAGCCCTCCAGCCATCCAGCCCTCCAGCCCTCCAGCCATCCAGCCCTCCAGCCCTCCAGCCATCCAGCCCTCCAGCCATCCAGCCCTCCAGAAAGAGACTGGTTACCTAGAAGCTCCCAGGGAGCAGGAAGAGCCTTCGTGGTGCAGAATCCTAATCCTAAAGCCCCTGATGTCCTATATGGTTTAGAGGTGGAACTGCCCATCTACCTCAAAACAGTTTTAAGGTCTGGAGAGGCCAGAAAAGGAAATGGGGACTTGAGGCTCTCACTGGACAGGCTGAGGAAGAAAAGCTTCATGCATTCATCTCTCCATGACCATACCCCACTTCTGCACCACAAAGGCATACAGACTGGTGAGCCAAGAAAGGAGTGTTTTCTAGAAGGCTCCAGACAAGTGTGCCCAACCTGCAACTCCGGGACTGTATGCAATGGAGGATAGTTATGAATGATGCCCAACACAAAACTGTAAATGTATTTAAAACATGACACTTTGGTTGTTTTTCACAGTGCTTGAGTGTCAACTTTATAGATGACATCATGTTGCAATGTCAAAAGGTTGAACACACCCACTAGTGACTCAGGACCTGGAGAAAGCACCACAGAGACCTGCCACTGTGACTCCAGCTAGTCAGCTCCGCTGAAGTCCCCAGCCTCCACTCACCCACAGCTTAAGTGGCAGCCTAAGGTAGAGCCACCCAAGGAACTCCTCAAAAGACTCTGGAGGCTAGCAGGCAGGCCACCAAGCCTAATGACCTCAGGAAGACACAGGGATCACAAGCAAGAAGGGGAGAACCAACTCCCCAAAACTGTCTTCCGATCTCTGTATATGTGTCATGGTGTGTGTACACGTGCAATAAATGTAAAATAAATAATTTAAAAACATTCTTGGGGCTAGAGGGATGGTTCAATGGTTAATGTGCTGCTCTTGCAGAGAATCAAAGTTCAGTTCCCAGCACCAACATGGCATCTCACACATGTGTAACTTCAGTTCCAGGAGATCTGATGCCTTTTTCTGATCCCTGAGGACACCAGGCACACATGTGGTACATATACCTATATTCAGGCAAACACTCATACACATTAAACAAATCTAAAAAAAATTAATAAGTTTGTTGTTTCAGAGTTGGGTAAAGCAGGGTGTGTGGTCTACATCCAGAATTACATCATCTGGAAGATGAAGGCACAGAGACTAGGAATGCAAGGTCAATCTCTGCTACACAGGAAGCTGCAGGCCAGCGTGGGTTATAGGAGACCCAGTCTTAAACAAAATAAAACAAGACAAGACAAAACAAGCCCTAGATGTGGCCATGCATGCCTGTAGTAACTCTGCAACCCCAGCAACTCAGAGGAGGCTGAGACAGGAGAACCTTGAGTTGGAGGCCAACCTAAGCTATAAACACAGCAAGATCCTGTCTCAAAACAAAGACCCCACAGGGAGCCAAACAATGCAACTGTCCAGACCTGAAAGCTGAGAATTTCATCCTGCTCTTTCCCTGAGGCCTCTCCCACCAAAAGCAGCATCACAAACAAAGCCAAAAAGCAGGCCACCATACCAGTTCTCCACAGCCTGCTGGCCTAGGTACCTGGGCAGTGTGAGAGGGGCCTGAGCTCTTCCAGAGCCTCCTGAGAGCTTTATACAGTCAAGCCAGAGCTCCCAAAACTAGCAACTGCCCTGTGGGATGGTCCATTGCCCACCACAAAGCCTTGAGCCTGCCTGTAAATAGCTGGTATCCAGAGACAGTGCACAGAAAATGGAAATACAGAAGGTTCCTTTGGGTCTCAGTGAAGAAAGTTATGGAGATATCAAAGCATGTGTCTCTTCCCCTGGGGATCCTGTGACAAGTGTTCTCGGCAACCCCAGAAGCCTAGAACTGATTATGCTCCCCTGCATGGGACTGTCACTTAAACCACAGCAAAGCATTTTCAAGGGGCTGGAGAGTGCCTCTGCAAGCATGAGGATCTGAGTTTGAATCCCTAGCACCCATGTAAAAAGCTGGTTATGGCTGCACATGCCTATAACCTCAGCACTGGGGATGACACACACCTGAAGCTCTTCCAGCAGAGATGTTCCCTGTGCTTCATGGAAGGGACTGAGGAGAATGAAGTGTTGTGGAGGCTGTGTCATCTGAGAATGTGTGCTGGTCAAGTGTTCAAGGAAGAAGCAGGTAGACACTGACAGCTCCCAGCTCTGTCTGCTCCAGCCTCTGCTTGTGTAGGTATACACACTCCCACACACTCTCATGCATATGCCCCCCCTTTTCCCAAAAGCATGCATCACACACAGTGTCCTCATACGCACACATGGGGATTAAAGTTCCATCTCCTGAACCTGTGCACACCCAGCATCATGGTATGCACCAGGTCTCAAGGAATGAAGGCAAGAGAAGCCCTTGGATTCCCTGGCTGGCCAGTTTATGGAGTCCCAAACCAATGAGAGATCCTGTCTCAGAAACACAAGGTGACCTACTCCTGAGTAATCATTCCCAAGAGTGATCTCTGGCCTCTGCATACACACACATTCCTTGGAAACCTCTAGACCAGCACACATTCTCAGATGATACGGCCTCTACAACACTTTGTCTCCCTTGTGGCCCCAGAAGCCATGGCTTCTGCAGACCACATCCAGTAATAAATGTAAACATGATGTCACACTGTCTTTTAGGTAGGAGAAAAATCACAAAGTAAACTCCAATGTTTCAAAGCTCCAGATCCAATGCAGAAGTGAACCGGCATCTTGTGCCCAGACTGTACGTCTTGGGCAGGCTGACACAGTCTAACTGCAGTCAAACTTTTAACAAAACAGAGATGTTAACTGGGCATGGCTGTGCATGCCTCAAATCTAGTCCTCTGACAGTGGAGGCTTGAGAATCAAAGCCCAAGGTCACCCTCAGCTACCCAGGCCATCCTGCGCCACATTAGACACTGTCAAAAGAGAAAGAGAGTGAGGAGAAGAAATGGAAGTTGGTGTGGCCCACATATATAACCCCAGCACTCAAGAGGCTATGGAAGAAGGATTGTATGGCAAAGCCCGCCTGGGATGTATAATGAGTTCCAGATCAACCGGGGCTGAAAGACACTATCTAAAAGGGGGTAATGGGGGCAGAAATGTCCCTAGCATACATGAAGCCTTAGGTTCCATTCCCAGCACAGAATAAGCTAGGCATGGTGGCACATGCCTGTAGTCCCAGGACTCAAGAGATACAGACAGAACAATCAGAAGTTCAAGGTCATTGGGCCTTCAAGATGGCAAAGGTGCTTGCTGCCAAGCCTGGTGTTCAATTCCGATATCTCACATGCCAGAAGGAGAAAATGGACTCCCAAAAACTGTTCTCTGGGCACCAATTGATCATGTGCATGAATACACACAGAGAGAATATTAAATTTAAATATTAAAAATATCTTTAAAAATTTAAAACATGCACACATAGAGAACAAATAAATCAATGTAAAAAAAATTAAAGAAGTTCAAGGTCATCCTTGGCTATGCAGAGTTTGAGGCCAGTCCTGGCTACACATAGCCCTGTCTAAAAACACATAAATAAATAAATAAATAAATAAATAAATAAATAAAATAAAAAGGAAAGAAATGGGAAAATTACAAGCACATAACTACTAGGTCCCCTCCTAGAGTCTTGGTAGCAAGGGACTTCAGAGGTGCCCCCTCCCTCCCGTCCAGGACCACTCTAAGACAGACTTAGGAAATTGTAAGAGCAGGAGGTGGCAGAAACTGGGTGAATGTGACTCATTCCTTCCCAACACTTTAACCCCTCAGAGCTTTAACTTTTTTGAGGCTTTTCAGAAAGCTTTCTTTTATGGCCATCCTCCCCACCACCACTAAAGAGAGTAGGCCCTGAGGGTGGCCACCTGCTCATAGGCCATTTCCCTTCCTAATCACAGAACCAAGAGACCAAGAGTGCAGCCTGTTTGTCCAAACAGGACAAAAATGTTTCTCAAAAGGCCACTTGGAATTCAGGGAAAGTCCTACAGCAAGGAGCACGCCCTGGGTAACAAGATCTGTTTTTCTGGAAGTATGACCTGTCCTTTCCTTTTCTGCCCAATTCTCGCCTCTGACACACAAACATTTGGGGACAGCTCAGGTCCTAGAGAGTCAGAGTGCACACAGGGCTCTTGCTGTGGCTGCCTCATAAACTGTCTCTTTTCTTGTTCTCCAAGAAGAATCCCACTTCAGCTTTAAAAAAAAAAAAAAAAAAAAAAAAAAAAAAGGTTAAGTCACAGCGACTAGGCAGGCAGTGAGGTCAGTGACGGCTGACATGGGTGGAGGGTCCTCTCTGTTCCAACAGGACAATGTGGAACACATTATCATTCCAACAGGAGGAAAAAAAAAAAAAAAGAGCAGTCGACTTTGCAGGCGGTGCATTATCCTTCTCCCCTCTTCCACAAATCCTATCTTTATGGCTCCAGCTGGAGGCAGGCTTTAAATGCGAGCATAATTCAATCAGGTTCCATTTGGACGCTAGTCACTTAGCAAAAAGGGAGAGACTTCTCCCAGTGGAATTAGGGACAGGCTCCTCTCTGGAATGCACAAGAGGTGGCCTGTAGCACCGGTAATCAAATTCTTTTTGATAATTCAGATTAACTAAACACTCGACAGGCGACAGAGGCTGGCCCGGCAGGTCTGCATCCTGTCAGGCCCCCATCACTCTGCTCCCCAGGGATAGAAGCCTGGTCCCTCCGAGGGCCTCCAGCTCAGCATCTGTCTCAAGCTTGGCACTTGTTGGGGGACTGGCTGAAGATGGTACAGAAATAGCTGGGGAAACAATGCCTCTCGCGGGCACACGGGTGGGGAGGCGATACTCTTGCGGGACTGGTGTAGGCGGGGGTGTCACCACCATACTGGTGGGGGTGGTGTGGAACTTCCCTCATTGAGCTCTTTCGGGTCGCCCCAGGTTAGACTGCACCTCCAAGGCACCGCCAGGTAAACTGAGGCCTGGAAGGGCCCCTCCACCACGAATGACAGAGGCCGGATCACCCCCTGGAAGCCCACGGGCCACGCCACCCGTGCCCACCCAGCCTTCGAGTGCAACTCCCCCAGGCCACTTCAGGCCCCGTGCGCTCGCCGGTTTCCATGGCAACCTAGCAAGCCTGCCTCTATCGCGCCCGGACCCGCCACGGGGACCCTGACCTGCGCGGCCCCGCCCCAGCGCGTGCCCCACTACCCGTGTCTCAGCCCGAGGTCTCCACGCCCTCCGCGGGTCCCCATCGTAGCTCAGAGGCACCTCCTGGGCCATCCTCGGCCTCCGCCGACCTCCCTTCTCGCGCTCCGCACTCACCTTAGCTCAGCCCGTCAGCCGAGTCCCCCCGCGCGCGGCTCCCACGCCCGCCGTTAGCCGAGCTGGCGCCCGGCTCGAGGCGCCTCCTGCCGGCCGTGCAACGGACAGGGCGAGGCCCCCGAGGGGGCGGGGCCTCCGGGGCGGGGCCTGTGAGGGCGGGGAGCCGGGAGAGGTGAAGTGAAACCTGACACCTCAGCGCCCAATGGGAAGAGACAAAACCTTGGATGGGTGGAGTCGCACGTATTGGGGCGGGCCTAGCCGGAGGGGAAATATAGCTTATGCGCTAGCGTCCCCTTCTGGCAGCCAACGGTAGGGACTATTCCCTAAGAGGTGTGGCCTTTTGGGTGGGCGTGGCCTCTGTGAATGGGCGGGGCCGATTTCCTACATAGGGCTCGTGGTAAATCAAGGGGCGGGGCCTCAGGCAAGAAGGGTGTGGCCAATGATAACCTACCCTATGATGTGCTCTCTGGTCAAGTAGGCGGTGTTTGGCCTCCTATCCAATTAGTGAGCAAGGGTGGAAGGATGGACAAGTACATAACTGTGTCTCTTGATATTTATGAACATGCATGAAACTGACCAGGAAGGCCAGAATTTTGTTTTATTTTATTTAATATATTTTTTACTTATACTTTAACAATTGCATACATATGTATATAGTACATGTTATCGCTATTTGCCCCACTTCTTTAATTTTAATGTATTCTTTGTAGAATTTTATTTTATATTTTAGATAGGATCTCATATATCCCACACTGGCCTCAAACTCTATGTAATCAAGGCCGGCCTTGCACTCCTGATATATTGTCTCCATCTTTCTTGTGTTGGGATTACAGGCTTGCACTACCATGCCTCATTCTTGTACTGCTGGGGATCAAACCCAGGACCTTGTATATGAAATACAAACACTCTACCAACTGAACCGCATCCCCAGCCCTTAGAAGCCAGAATTTTAAAAGACAAGTCAAATTATGACAGACTGGCTTAAACCATGCAAAATGGGACCAAATCAGCTTTGACCCACTTACCTTCTTAATAACCCTAGATGTACATCTTTTCGTTGACAGTTTAGAGAGTACAATGCTGTAGGGTAGTGGTTCTCAACCTTCCTAATGCTGCGACACTTTAACACACTTCCTCATGTCCTGGTGACCCCCAACCATAAAAATATTTCCTTTCTACTTCTTCACTGTAATTTTGCTACTGTTATGAATCATAACATAAACACCTGATATGCAGGACATGTGTTATGCAACCCATGTGGGGCTGAAACCCACAGGTTGAAAGCCACTGATGTAGAATAATGACCCAATGTTTGAGAGAAGGGGAAGGGATAGACATTTACAGACCACTCCTTCTGCCAGGCCCTATATGTTCAGGGGCTTTACCCAGCTCAGTCCCCTGGATTCATGCACCAGCACTTACTTAAAAGGTTCCTGCTATTCAACTCTTCACCTAGTGGTATAGATAGATGCTCAGAAAAGTCAGGTGGCTAAAGATCAGCCAAGGCTTGGCTTGACTATGTGATGAACCAGTACCCCCCCCCACACACACACAGGATACCTCCCATCATGCACATCTACCTGTACCCCAGTCCAGGAGGCTGTAACCAAACAATATACTGGAATATTTCCATACAAGTTCCTTCAAACAATAGCAAAGTGGCAGTTGCCAGTGCTGAGAGGAGAGCCTGGGTTTAGCCTGGATGTTTGTTCTGCCACATCCCAAGCTGTAACCAAGCACATCTCCAGACTCTCTACACCCATCTCTGGCAGAGACTCTCACACTGCAACATGGGGACCAGATCTGAACTATTTTTGTAAATAAAGTTTTATTGGGACACTGTTATGATCGTTTGTTTACAACACCATCAGAGTGACTGGTAATTTGTATACTGTGGAGGGTTGAAAGTAAAATGCCTACTTCGTGCTTATGTTTCAAATGCTTGACCATCAGTTGGCAGGGTTATTTTGGATGGTTGTGAAGACTTTATGGAGTGGAGCCTAGATGGAAGAAGTAGACCATGGAGGTTGGTTTTTGAGGGACTATCATCCCTCACCATTTTCTGCTGCTCTCTGTTCCCCATGAGGTGAAGAGCTCTCAGACACATTCGCTTGCTACCACAATGTTCTGCACAAACATTTGGGGCCACATGGCCAAGGACGGGCATCTCTGAAATTGTAAGCCATGACAGCCTTTCTCTTTTAAGTGGCTTCAATCAGGTATTTGTCACCACAATGTACAAGTAACTAAGACACACGGCAAAGCCTAAAAATAGCCCCCGTAAAGGCCCCACACCCAGTAACATTCTGGGGTACTTGGAATTGGGACTTCAGCATCTGAATTTTAGGGAAACACACAACACATTCCATGAAATGAGCTTTCATCACCTAGATACTTTTACTTTATCCTTAAAGTTTTGCCTGTGTGGTAGCTAATCTACAAGACGGCTGCCAGGGAGCCACATTCCTGGTTTTCACATCACTTCATAGACTAATATAACAAACACAATGTTGTCCCAATGATACTATGACTCTGCAGCTACACACTGAAAGTTGTGTCTGCCCATGATGTCTCTTACATCATTTACTCTGAGGTAAGCTGACCATGTTGGAAAGACACCCAAGCAGCTCTGTGTGAAGAGAGGCAACTACCAACAGCCAACCCCAACACCCACATGTCTGTGAGCTGTGCTGGATTGGATTTCCCCTACCCAGAGTCCCCATCCCAATGCTGTAGCTTTGATTGGTAGCCACTCTGTAGACCAGACTGGCCTGGAACTCAGAGATCCACCTGCCTCTGCCTCTCACATGCTGGGATTAAAGACATGCGTCACCACCACCTGGCATTCTGTCGGAAGTTTACTTTTATTTATTTAATTTTTTTGAGTCAGGGTTTCTCTGTATAGCTTTATAGACCAGGCTGGCCTCGAACTCCCAGATATCCACCTGCCCCTGTCTCCTGAGTGCTGGGATTAAAGACATATGTCACCACCCCCCCCAGTTTCTGTCGGAAGTTTAACAACCAATTCCATAATGGATGTATCCCACCAAAAGGGATTATGTACAGAGAGCTTGGTACTCAGTGCAGGCCATAATCTGATCTGGAGCTTTGGATGATTGACTAGAGCCTCAGGGTGCTACTTAATCAATGAATTAACCATTTCTTTGTTTGTTTTGCATGTGAGAACAATCATACATGTGACTGTGGGCACCCATGAGCCACACTATGTCTGTGAAGGTCACAGGACTACTCCAGTTTTTGGTCCTCACCTTTTATCTTACTTGAGACAGTGTTCAGTGTTGCTCTGTTGTTTTTCCACTGAGCATTCCGGACTAGCTGGGCTAAGAACCCTCCCATCCTCACCTCCCATCTTCCCATGGGAGTGCTGGGATTGCCGATGCTTGTCCTGTCCATCTGGCTTTTACACGGTCCTAGGGATTCCAGTTCAGGGCCTCATGCTTGCACAGTTCTTTTAACCACTGAACCGTCACCCCATCCAATGGATTAATCACAGAGTCATAATATGATAGCATCATCAGGAGCAGAAAGTGATAGGTGGGGTCTACAGCTGGAGGAAGTAGCTAGGGGGACATGGGACACAGTTTGAGTAAGGGCAATAACTTAATAAAAAAAATAAAGTAGATCAGCTGTGGCAGTACACACCTTTAATCCCATCACTAGAGAAGCAGAGGCCAGCCTTGTATACATAGAAAGTTCTAGGCAACACAACCAGACCCTGAATAAGAGAGTCAGCCTGGGTCACATCGTGAGACCCTATCTCAAAAAAGAAGTAAAAGTTTAGGGCCTCACCTTCCTCTTTCTGCCATCTTGGCAACTGTGGAAGCCTTTGGAAGCCTGCTGGGAACAAGACTTCTAAAAGGCAAATATATCTAGAAGACTGTGGGGCGAAGTCCCTGGAAACCAAAGAGAACACATGACTCTTCTTAAAACTGAAGATGTTTATGCCCAAGATGAAACTGAATTTTACTTAGGCAAGTGATATGCTCATGTGTATAAAGAAAACAGCAATTCAGCCACTCCTGAAGTCAAACAAAATGGGAGTGATCTGGGGAAAGGCTACTCGGGTCCATGGAAACAGTGGCATGGTTTGTGACATATTCCAAAGCAACCTTCCTGCACAGGCCATTGTACACAGCATCCATGTGATGCTGTACCCTTCCCAGACTTAAACTAATGAAGTGTAAAACAGTCAAAGTGGATTTGTGCTCTGGAAAAAATAGCAAAAACAAACAAACAGATAAAAAGAGTTGAAAAATTGATTTTTTAAATAAAATTTAAAAAACAAGATAGCAGTTGTGGGGGGGATGGAGTTTGAGATGCCATCTTTGGTCAGTAGGTGTAAGCAGATCCTTGGGACTGTCAGGCAAAGGATTTGCTGAGCCTAAAGACAAGTATCAGCTTAGGCTGTGTCCCCAGAGGATGGACTTTACAGAAATGAAGAGAATGGGCTCCTGGTTAGAACAGGTGTCATCAGGCACCTTCAATTAATAATCGGGTGCTGCCTGTCACCGGCAGCCCATAGAGTAGCACAGTTACAAAGATGAGCAAGGCAGCCTCTGCAGCTGGGATGGTGGCTTGACACACCTGCTGCACAAATGAGAGGGGCAGAGTTCAAATCCATATCACCCATGTAAAAAGCCAGATGTGGACACACATAAACCTGTAACCCCAGAAAAGTGGGGACTAAAGACAGAAGAATCAGGAGGATTTTGTTGGCTTCTAGCCTAGCTCCAGTCTCATTGAGAGATCCCATCTCAGGGGAATAATATGCAGAGTGACAGAACAGGACACCTGACATCCTCCTCTGTCCCCTGCATGTACGCATAGGCACATGCACTCACACATACATATACCACCCACATATATACAAGCTGGTGTGAAGAGTTTATTGCAACATAATGAGATACCAATTGTGTAACTGTCAGCTAATGCTGGGTAACACATATTCAGAGACCTACACTAAAGAATTGTTATTGCCTGCATATTGGCAGGTGGTGATCTGACTGGGTAGGATTGGATTCAGATCTGCTCTGCCTGCCTCCACATTCTCAGAAATGGTCTTATCAGGAACATGACTTTCTCCTGAAAGATGGGGGAAGTTCGGGAGTTCAGACCATACCACAGGAGCTGAATTA